TTAGATTTCACATCCATACTTGTGAGGGAATTAAAATCCTACTAGCAAGCCGACACTTACCAAACCTCTCCTGCACCATAAGGGCCACCTGCTTCCCCACCTGAGTGCTCCCGGTGAAGGACAGCAGGTTCACGCGCTCATCTTTGGCCATTGCTGTGCTGCAGGGAACAGACACGGTCAGCAAGCAGAGAAACCCGGCAACGGCAACACCTAACGGCACCCAGCGAGAAAACAATGATGTGCACCCTCAGAAAGAGAAAGGACAAGGAGGTATATGCCCAAGGAGCAAGGGACGGTCTTCATGAAAAAGAAAGAACGTTTTCACAAGTAGGGCCGCCCAGGCTGACCTGCTCTGTGAGTGCTCCCTAAACAGACGTCCCCCAGAGGAAGTCGTCGGTTAGGGAAGACAGTCCTCCTTATACTGAGTGGGTGACTGGATGAGAGAGTCTTAGCATTTCCTTGCTGAGCGTTCCAGATGTTTTGCAGACTCTCAACCCACAGTGTAGCTCCTTTAAGAATTAAAAACTTAAAAGACTATAGGGAAACATCCCAAAATATTCCTCATGAAAGATGACTTATAAAAGCTAGGCTAGGATTTCCAGTGGCTTCTAAGGAATTCGAATCAGACACTATCGATTTGAACCTCTTTGTTCAGTGCTTCAGACGGTTCAGTGTGAGCCAAGCAGGGCAGCATCAGTCCAACGTAGGGCCGGGCAGCTCGATTCAATTACCTAGGGAGGTCTCCCCAGGTTCGACCCAGCAAACGTGAGCACTGACACGCAAAGTGGCTGCCGCTGAAAGCACCCCTGTGTCTACCACTCTAATTAGCTGAGCTACCCCAAGGCCAGCACAAAGGACTGGATGCCTGAGAGCAAGAATAAAGTAGGTCAAAGGATACAATACTCATGTTTTAAATGACATTTAGATAATACTTCACTACGTACTGCATATTTGGGAATTGTATTTTCTACTACTTTCTCATCTGCGTGAAAAAAATAATAACTTGTTGCTCCTTTCTGAAACTGCTCAGTAGGTACAGTAGCATGTTGAAAGTGTCGGAAGTAGACTAACACTCTAGCCACAGCAGTGCGGGCTGCAAGACTGACTCCCAGGAAAGCTCACCTAATCAAAGTCTAAGCTGGCAAAAACCACCTCTGCTTTCATCATGGTTCAGAGCAATTACAGCCAGTTCCAACTTAAAGAGGCTGTGATATTATGCCAAGAAGCCAGACAAAAAGGCCACATATTACATGATTCCATTTATAGAAAATATCCCAAATAAGCAAATCCACAGAAACACGAAGCACCTGAGTGGTTGCCGGGGGCTGGGGACAGAGGGGAATGGGAAGTGATTGCCAATGGGTATGGGGTTTCTTTCTGAGCTGATGAAAATGTTCTGGGATAAGAGAGTGGTGACGGCAGCACACACTATAGTCTAAAAACCACTCAATTGTACACTTTAAAAGGGAAGATTTTATGGTATATGAATTACATGACAGTTTAGATAGATAGATAGATAGATAGATAGATAGATAGATAGATAGATAGATAGATAGATAGATAGATAGATAGACAGACAGACGGACGGACAGACTGTGTTCCCAGGGTTCTCTTTTTTGGTCAGCTGAAGAACTCAGGCAATAAGCTAGCTTTTCACGGGGGAGTAAGACCCCAGACAATAATTCTATAGCTTTGCTTTTAAGTAAACACCTTTATAAATCGAGTATTGGGAAGCCACAGACTGCCCACCATTACGGCAGTTTGATATTCCAGGATATCAACACCTTACGCACAGCAGTTCTGGGCAATTAAAAAGACAACTCTTACTCATCCTCCAACAGAGCCCAACCAGGCCCATAATCATGATGATTCCAGAGAACCATCCTCATTTCCTTAGCTGTTTTGTTCTTCTAGTAAAGATGATCCTAATTGGTCAACCTGGAGTCATTCAACAGAAGGATATTCTCAGCCTATTAACTTACCCAATATCTGCTCCACCACAAGTCAAGGAACAAATTGCACCAGGCAGCTTGTTGTCCTCCAGCACCTTAGCTATTATCCTAGGAAGGAAAAAGTAATGACATAGGCAATAATTTAATTTCTTAGGACATTTTTTTAAAAATGAGAAACAAAATTCCAACCACCTGACTCTTCTTTCTCCAACTTTCTCTCCCATCCCTCAAACATAGTACCCTCTCTCTTTTCCAACTCACTTTCCAATTCCTAAACCATTGTTCCTAAATGATCTTCTAACATTAAGAACCCTCTCATTACATACAGACTTTACCTTCAAACATTAAGACCTGGATTTCTCCTCACATACAGATTTTCAAACACTTAGTAACAGAACTCTTTTTTTCTAAAGTTAAGAAGGAGAATAAATATTCTAAATATTAAGAAGGAGAAAAGAACATAGAACATAAATAGAAGACATGGAGCATTGCTCAGATAGTTCCAGTGATCATCGTTTAAGCATTTCCTGCCAAACTATGAAGACACATCTGGTTCCAGATGGCAGATTGATCGAAGGCTTTTTTTTTTTTTGTCTCCCACCACGAATCCAATAAAGTGATAGCGAAGAAACAGAAAAAGAATGGGAGGCCGAGGCAGGTGGATCGCTCAAGGTCAGGAGTTCGAAACCAGCCTGAGCAAGAGTAAGACCCATCTCTACAAAAAATAGAAAGAAATTAATTGACCAACTAAAAATATATAGAAAAAATTAGCCAGGCATGGTGGCACATGCCTGTAGTCCCAGCTTCTCAGGAGGCTGAGGCAGGAGGATCGCTTGAGCCCAGGAGTTTGAGGTTGCTGTGAGCGAGGCTGATGCCACAGCACTCTAGCCCAGGCAACCGGGCAACAACAACAACAAAAAGAAACAGAAAATAAAATAAAAAAGAAACAAAAAAAGGAATAAGACTTAGAAAGATAAATCTAGAAGTAGCTCCCAATAGTAAATGAGAGTTTTGAACCCATCCCTGCAAAAGATGGGTTGCCCATCAAAGCAAGGCTCGGTTAGAGAGATGATAAAGGACGAGACAGGGAAGAAGCGGTCCCGAATCCCAGAGCAGACGCCAAGGACAGACAAGAAAGGGACCTGCCCGGCAACCCTGCAGCAGCTCGTGACTAGTGTCCACTGTCTTCACACCAAAGACTGTGGTCAGAAAATATCAATGTCCTTCAGGCTGAGGCACTGTGGACAAGCAAAGCAGTCTCTCCTACAGCTTAAGCTGTTACAACTAAAATAAGACATAGTTAACCACTTCCGTACGAGCATGGACTGTAGCCCACGGCCGTGATGTGACTTTTCTAATTTTTCATTTATCAAAATAAAAGTGTGAACATTTAAACATAACGTAATGAAAACATATATGTGTATGCTACCTATTCTGACTTACATTACAAGGAAAGCTGCCTGTGAAGTGAGTGCCTCAAGCTGTCCTCATCACACGCGAGCAAACGCCGCGCGGTCCACGCGGGCGGGCGGGCGGCCCTCCCACCGTAAGTGCCGTGCTTGCCAGGCGGGCGGCCCGCCGGGAGCGCCGCACCGAAGGGGTTAAATGCTACTTAAATATGATTTCGAGCTACAAATGGCTAAAGTCATTCTGGTTTCTCTGAAACAGGATTCTTTTGTGTGTGTGTGTGTGTGTGTGTGTGTGTTTTTTTTTGAGACAGAGTCTCGCTTTGTTGCCCAGGGTAGAGTGAGTGCCGTGGCGTCCTAGCTCACAGCAACCTCAAACTCTTGGCTCAAGCAATCCTCCTGCCTCAGCCTCCCAAGTAGCTGGGACTACAGGCATGCGCCACCATGCCCGGCTAATTTGAAACAGGATTCTTCCACTCACTCTGAGCTTCCAGAGGACCAATAGAACAAGGTTCTATTTATCATACCAACTTGCTATTTTCCAATTTGTTTACATTTCAAAGAGACCCAAATCCCACACTTACTTCCACAGAAAAGATACCATTGTTACATCTAAGTAAATTCCCCGATTGTCCCCAAAGATGTCCTTTAGAGTGTTTTCTTTCTTCACCCCAATCCAGGGTCCAATCAAGGATCATGCACTACAGCTATCACATCCAAGACCAGGTTTTGGGCTGTACACTTCTTTTCTGAGACTTAAGGCATATATACTGTCTGCACAAGCAGAGTGTAACTCTCTTTAAGGGCAAGGATTTTGCTTTGTGCCTGTGGGTTAAGGTTAGCAAAACCCCTTCCCCTAAGGCTCAGGAATCTAATCTTAGGTGAAACTGTAGCTCTGTTCCCCAGGTTACCTGACAAATGTCAGTATCAACGATGTGACTTACACAACACAGCTTATAGTAAAAATGACCAGATTGGTCAATTGCATCTGAACTAGGATAACTATCTGTGAACCATAAATGGAAATGCCATGCTTTTTGGCCTTCCCTGAGTGCAGTGACACTTGTAACTGCATGTCCTTTGTGGCGCCGGAAAGCTATGCCTATGGAATTGTTATGAGAGATTTTGGTTTCTGTGGGGCATCAGGCTATTAAGCTAGGGTAACGCTACACCTATCCAATGTGGATCTCATCTTGCACCTGCGTGACCACTATAAGAACATCGAATGAAGACAAAGAGCTGATGCTGTCCTCCTAGCAAACCATGTTCCTGTCCTATATCCTTCTGAATAAATAGAGGACTATATGTGACCTGTGGTCATCTTATGAGCCTGAACATTTAGTTGAATTTAAGACCTCCCAGTGGGCACTGCACCACCCTTGGTTAATTCCAACAAAATTTGGCATTTTACTTATTATCTTCCCCGCAAAATCAGGTATTTCCAATTCTCTGAAAAATATCAACCAGCATATATTAAAAGTGCTGTATGAACATTTCATACTATTTAAAACAAAACAAAAAAGGCTTAAAGCAAAACTAGTACGAATGAATATTTTAACCAGCTACTTAATAACACTCGGCAAGTCAGCTATGTCCACATTAACTATTCTGTTGTTTAAAAAAAAAGTTTATTTTAAAATATTGCTTCCAGCCTTTTTCGCGTCCTCGTTTCCAAGATGACAAAGAAAAGAAGAAACAACGGTCGTGCCAAAAAGGGCCGTGGCCATGTGCAGCCTATTCGCTGCACGAACTGCGCCCGATGCGTGCCTAAGGACAAGGCCATAAAGAAGTTTGCCATTCGGAACACAGTGGAGGCCGCAGCTGTCAGGGACATATCTGAAGCGAGTGTCTTCGATGCCTATGTGCTTCCCAAGCTGTATGTGAAGCTACATTCCTGTGTGAGTTGTGCCATTCACAGCAAGGTAGTCAGGAATCGTTCTCGGGAAGCCCGCAAGGACCGAACACCCCCACCCAGATTTAGACCTGCGGGTGCTGCTCCAAGACCTCCACCAAAGCCTATGTAAGGAGTTGAGTCCTTAAGGACTGAAGAAAAACTACCCGTTGGAAAAAAATAAAATGGAGATTATACTTAAAAAAAAAAAAAAAAGAAAATATTGCTTCCAGAATCTCATCATTTTGATGTGTTTTGATATTTCATTTGAACATCCCTGGTTTAGAGGCTATTATTTCTTCAATGTCATATATTTATTTCAACTAAATATTAATACATACTACCCTCTCTCTTTTTCAGCCCACTTTTTAATTCCTAAGCCACTGTTCTAAATAATCTTCTAACATGTAAAACCTTCTTTCATACAGAATCTACCACAAGCTCTCTACCAACAATTCTTACATCAGAGAATACAAACCATGCAGCCAATGAAGGAGCACGAAAAGTGCATTCCAAGCCTACCTGGGAAGGCGCCCTATCCTATATATCCCCTAAATTTCAAAATGATAAATTAACAATACTGGTTTTATGGCTTAATCAGAGCTGGCAAGTTCTCAAATATAAATGAGTAAAACACTAATAACTTTTTAAACCAAAATACACAATATATTTTAAATAGTGTGAGATGAATCAGTGGATTAGTATCATAACCAGTTCTTTCTGTTTTTGTTAACAGTCTATTAAGGTGAGGCGTGGTGGCTCAACACCTGTAATCCTAGCATTCTGGGAGGCTGAGCCAGGAGGATTGCTTGAGCTCAATGAGTTTTAGGTTGCTGTGAGCTATGATGACACCACTGCACTCTAGCCCGGGAGACAGAGCAAGACTGTGTCTCAAATTAATTAATTAATTAATTAATTAAGCAGTCTATTAAGCAAAAGCAATAAAAGTATTAATTGGGTAGAAATGTATTCTCAAAACTATTCGCTTGTTGAATAGTTATATAATGTAGTCCCCTCCCCTGCCTAATTACAAATATATTTCCTCTCCTCTGGAGATGTTTTCATTTTCCAAGTAACAACAAATGTCTATAAGAGTTCAAGTTCCATATTTATATCAATATCTAACATTATATTGCTCTGGAAGAGATCTGTAAACTACAAAATGATATAAATGCTATTATAACCAAAGGTGAAAGAAGTAATCCAAATTCCTTGTTTGAATAAACATGACACTTTCACATTGGATTAAAACATCAGTCACCCTTTCAAGATCAGTCCATACTCAGGAAAAAGAAAGCCACACATACTTACTTTGTGACGGCTACACTGATGAGGGAAGTTGTTGGAGCTCCTTTCCTTAAGGTTAAAAAAAAAAGGAAGAAACTTAATTCGATGGAAACCATAAATACCTTTTATTATCAAGCAGAAACAAAAGTCTTTGTGAGAAAAAGCTCTGTCCAACTAAACAACTAACAAATGGGTCTAGTAACTGAAATAGAAATCCATCCTTCAGCTCAATGCCTCTGAGACCTAAGAGACTACAAACTTTCATGGACATAAATAATGGCACGAAGCAATTCTGAACTGCTTGCTGCACTGATCACAGTAGCTACTATATAACCTCAGCTAGTTATGGAAACTGAGGGAAGCAGAAACCCAGCAATGTGCTGCATTCATCAAACTTTCCTTGCAAGGCTCAGAGCCAAGGAAAACTACACAATTAGCCTTTTTGGATTAGAATGCTGGAAAACCTGGGTTCCTTTGGCAACATGGTACCAAATTATTAATTCTCCCAACCATGCCTTGTTTTATAGACAGTCTTGTTTTATAGACAGTTTTATAGACAGTCTTTGAGAGTATTCACTTGAGTACTGCATTTAAGATCAGTAAATAACCAGTGGAAGATACTCAAATAGGCCAAAGGCAACTTTCCTGATTTTCGTTAACTAAGTTCTTCCACTGAACATGAAAGCTAAAAACAAGTGACTGTTTCGCCATCTATAATATACATTTTTACTATCAAATATTTTAGAAAGATGAAAAACTTAAAGCATGTATGAGAACATTGGCCAAGTGTCTCAGAATCACTTGGTAATTCACTATAAATTTTTTTTTTTTTGAGACAGAGTCTCGCTTTGTTGCCCAGGCTAGAGTGAGTGCCATGGCGTCAGCCTAGCTCACAGCAACCTCAAACTCCTGGGCTCAAGTGATCTCCTGCCTCAGCCTCCCGAGTAGCTGGGACTACAGGCATGCGCCACCATGCCTGGCTAATTTTTTCTATATATATATTAGTTGGCCAATTAATTTCTTTCTATTTATAGTAGAGACGGGGTCTCGCTCCTGCTCAGGCCAGTTTTGAACTCCTGACCTAGAGCGATCCGCCCGCCCCGGCCTCCCAGAGTGCTAGGATTACAGGTGTGAGCCACCGCGCCCAGCCTAAAACTTTTATTAGAAAAAATGTCAAACTTTAAAAAGAAGGTTGTGACATCACAAGGTTTTTTCCTCCTACTTGTTTACTTAGTATTCTGTTTGAGAAGTGTGTTGTAATAAATGTATCCTGTCTTTCTCCTCAGTTTCAGGCGGGGAGCTTCAGAACCCCTCGGAGTTTCCTGAGTGACAGTAGTGCCTTTGTTATAGGAACTCAAGATTAGAGGGCTACACTTTCAGCCAGTGTACCACCTCCAGGGAGGGCAGAGGGCTGGAGACTGAATCCAACCATGATTCAATTATTCATGCCTAAACAAGGAACCCCAAGAACATCTCTGGATATCCAAGTGCAGCGGTGCTTCCTGGCTGGTGAACACGTTGATACATGCCAGGCGGCGACAAGCCCGAGCACCGCCGGGACAGCACATGGGAGCTGGGCATCTAGAGCCCTTCCAGCCCTTGCCCCACGTGCACCGTTTAACAAAACTGTTATCATTACAGACAGTGCCTTCTTGAGCTCTGTGGGTCATGCTAGTGAACTATGAAAACCAAGGGTTCATAGGAACCTCCAAATTTATAGACAGCTGGCCAGACTGCAGGTGTCCTGGGAACCCCACTGCTGCTCGCACCTGCAGGAGGGGCAGTCTCGTGGAGGGCTGAGCCCCGACGCCTGTGGAGCCTGACGCTGCCTCCGGGTAAGGAGTGCCAGGACTGAACCTCAGTCCACCCACGTGGGGGGAGGAGAGCTGCGAACACTAGGGCAATGCTGGGTCAAAAAGGTAAGCACATTACCAGTGGTTAAAATACGTAATCATTAAAAACCAGCATTTGACAACTAGCAGGTATGACTTAATATGTTAACTGAAAGAGTACAGTAAGTAGAAAACATTTCAGTTTTTTAAAAATACTTTTTACTAGTTCCCAGAAACGGCTCCTTTTATCGCCGCCCAGCCGCGGGACAGGGACAGGAAAGCCAGCAGGCCTCACCAAAGGCAGACGTTGCCGCAGACCAAGGCGACCGCGCTGTTCCAGCCGTACACCGCCACCGGGAAGTTGAAGGCCGTGATGACGCCCACCAGGCCTACGGGGTTCCACTGTTCCATGAGGGCATGGCCCGGCCCTGCGGGCAGGAAAGGGCACGTCAAGTAAATGACAAAGCCCAGACTTTCTCATTTTCACAACACAGGTACACCACACCCAGGGGATTCCAGATGCCTTCCAGCAGATCCCTCTAGCAGCTGCGGGATATTGGTATTTTAAGGTACAACAGAAGTGGTTACCGCTAGGCTGCCCGAGAACCACGAGGACATTCATCACGCCTCTGACCCTCGGGGGACTCCACGGAGGCCAAGGCAGTGCCAGTGCGTCTGGGAGACAGGGACACCTTAGAGAGCTGCCAACTTCAGAATAAGAGACTAGGACACAGGGCTGAGCCCAAAAGTAAACGGCCTTAAACAAAAGGGCTGATAAGCACAGGCAAGAACTGGCTTCACCTGGCTTGCCAGCTATCCCTGTCACCTTACGTGAACTTTGGCTAATCACAGCATCATTTACACTGAGGCTTTAAAATTTCTCTGCCCTTGAAATCACCATGACAGTTCCGAGACAATCATATGAAATATGAAAATGGAAAGGAACCCAATTCCAGGAATTACTACCAAAATTCTCAGTAAAAGCCTTGAATATGCCTGCCCTCAATCAGTAAAACCACAAAAGCTTTGAAACCACTGTCTCCAGAGCAGCTGCTCTCTTTCCAGCCTGCCCCTGTTTCTTGGGGCAGGCAGTTTTGTTTTCAATAAGCTGTCACCTGCTCGGCTCACCTGGCGCATACCGAAATTATTTTCCTGATGAAACCAAGAATTGGAACAACCTCCACTCAGAGGCCAATGGCAGTAAGAGCTGCCTAGGGATGTGCTCAAAAGGGCAGAACGAGACAGGACTCGGAGTTGCGACTCTTGGGCCCGTGTTATTTATGTTTCCTGATGAAGCCCGGGGCCAACCTCTCTAAATTTAAGACAAGGTAGCTCATTTGGGAGTTAGGGGATTCTAATAATTATAAATGTTGAATGAATGAATTGCACAGATCTTTATATTCACTATCAGAAAATGAAAAGGTAAATAAAAACATTTGTATTTTAAACACAAACTTTAAAGTCACCCAGAGTCCCACAAGGGGCTTATTTTAATCAAAGGCAGCTGGAGCAGTGAAGAACCAGAGCAAGGGAATATGACGGTTCCCAAGCCCGGGCCAGACCACAGACCAGCTGCAAAGGCAGCAGTGCCAGCCACTGACCTGCCTGAACACCCTCACACTGCTGGCTACGATGGGAAGCTCACTGCCAGGCCCTCCTGCAGTCTAGCACCCTAATCCTCGGCTAGGTGGTATCCCCAGATGGTATGCCCGCACGGCCTCTGCCCGCAGTGCCTGCCCTCCCCTCTCTCCCTGATGCCACCCTTCTATGACAACACTCTGGTGTCTGGATGGCTGCTGTAGCCACCCTCAGGATAAAGTCCAAACTCCTAGTCAGGAAAACTCTACTCCTGAGGTTCCCTGTTCCCAGGGTTCCTTCTCTGCCCCACCTACCACCCCCTCCACTGCACCCTCCAGCTGTGCCAGCTGTGCGCTGCTCCCTCCAGCTGTGCGCTGCTCCCTCCAGCTGTGCACCCTCCAGCTGTGCGCTGCTCCCTCCAGCTGTGCGCTGCTCCCTCCAGCTGTGCCAGCTGTGCGCTGCTCCCTCCAGCTGTGCGCTGCTCCCTCCAGCTGTGCACCCTCCAGCTGTGTGCTGCTC